TCGGTGTACGATTTACACGGTCCATAAGAGCTTGAAATACTTGATGGATCAGCCAAATCTGAATATGCGACAGAGGAGGTGGTTGGATGTGGTGAAGGATTACGATTGTGAGATCCTGTACCACCCGGGCAAGGCTAATGTGGTAGCCGACGCATTGAGCCGTAGGGCGGATAGCGCCCCGATCTGAGATATTTGTATGAGGTTGACGGTTTTGACCCCGATTCTGGATATTATTCGAGGGGCTCAGATGGAGGCTGCGAAGCCGGAACACCAGAAGAAGGAACGGGTTGTAGGTCAGGTATCAGGATTTGTTACGGATGGTCGAGGGCTTATGACTTTTCAGGGACGGATTTGGGTGCCGTTTGTGGGAGGTGCGCGCACTATTTTGATGGAGGAAGCACAGCGATCGAAATTCTCGATTCATCCTGGTGCTACGAAAATGTATTTGGATCTCAAGAAGGAGTACTGGTGGCCATGTATGAAAAGGGATGTCGCTTGGTTCGTCGAGAGGTGCTTGACTTGTCGGCAGGTCAAGGCCGAACACCAGCGACCGCACGGTAAGCTGCAACCGCTAGAGATTCCTGAATGGAAGTGGGAACAAATCTCTATGGATTTCATCACCAAGTTACCGCGAACGGCGAGAGGAGTCGATGCGATTTGGGTGATCGTGGATCGGCTGACAAAGAGCGCTCATTTTCTAGCCATTAGCGAGAGCTCTTCTGCGGAGAAGTTGGTTGAGTTATATGTGAGGGAAGTAGTATCTCGGCACGGGGTGCCGATCTCGATTATTTCAGACCGCGACGTGCGTTTCACTTCCAGGTTCTGGAAGAAATTCCATGAAGAGTTGGGTACTAGGTTACATTTCAGTACGGCATATCATCCTCAGACAGACGGTCAGAGTGAGCGGACAATTCGGACACTCGAGGACATGCTTCGGGCATGTGTGTTGGACTTCGGAGGGAGCTGGGACACCTATCTACCTTTAGCAGAGTTCTCGTATAACAACAGCCATCATTCGAGCATTGGTATGCCGCCCTTTGAGCTGTTGTATGGGCGGAGGTGCCGCACCCCCATCTGTTGGGGTGAGGTGGGACAGCAGGTTATGGGTAGCACGGAGATCGTGCTTCAGACGACCGAGCAAATTCAGATGGTCAGGCAAAGGTTGTTGACCGCTCAGAGCCGACAGAAGAGTTATGCAGACAGGCGACGGTCCGAGCTTGAGTTCCAAGTTGGTGATCTTGTACTCCTGAAGGTCTCTCCTTGGAAAGGAGTGATTCGGTTCAGGAAGAGGGGCAAGTTGGGGCCCCGATATATTGGTCCTTTCCGTGTGATCGCAAGGGTGGGCCGGGTAGCCTACCGTTTAGACTTGCCACCAGAGTTGGGACAGATTCACGATACTTTCCATGTGTCGCAACTGAGGAAATGTATAGTCGACGAATCAACGGTGGTTCCGTTAGGGGATATTCAGGTGGATGCAAGCCTGAATTATGCTGAAAGACCTGTAGCCATCAAAGATCGGAAGATCAAGGTTTTGAGAAACAAGGAGGTACCCCTGGTATTGGTTCAGTGGCAACATCGGAAGGGATCAGAGATGACTTGGGAGCCGGAACGAGAGATGCGGGAGCAGCATCCGGAGCTTTTTGCCTAGCGGGACTTCGAGGGCAAAGTCTTATTCTAGTGGGGGAGAATTGTAACAGCCCGGATCCCCAGGTATCTTCATTTCATATATTTTTGACATTCTGTGAGGGGACTCGGCGAGTTGGAGGTCGAACTCGCTGACTCGGGTCGCGGTTTTGGGCGGGGGTTCGCGTCCGGACTCGGCGAGTCCAAGGGATGGACTCGGCGAGTCCGCGCTGTTTAATGAAACCCTAATTTTTCCGGTCCTAAGCCCTATTTAAAGGACCTTATGGCCCTCATTTGCGGCCACCTTGAACCCTAAGAGCCTCCATACGTCTGTAAGCCCTTGTGAGTGTGTTTGAAGGCCATTTGTTCATCATTTTGTGTGATATTGCAAGGAAAGGAGGGGGAGGAGCAAGCTTGAAGTGTTGGGGAGCTTAGATCTGTTGCTATTTCATCAAGGGAGTCTTCTTGAGGTAATTTTCAGAGCCAAACTTCGTGTTTTGTGTTGATGTGCCAAATCTAGGGGTTCTTCTTGCATTTCTTGGCTTGAATAAGAAGTATGAGAGGTCCCATGGAGATATGGAACCTGGATCTGGACTTTAGCAGGTCCAGGAGACCCCTTATGACAAGCTTTATGTCCATTCTTTTGAGTTAGAAGCTAAACTTGCCATATTAGAGGTCGTTTCTTCAAAAAAAGCCTTGTATGCATTGCATGGCAACCAAGACTGAGACTTTACGTGACAAATAAGCTTGGGAAGGCCAGATCTATGTATGTATGGAACAGATCTGACCGTAAAAGCCAGTTTTAGCTGGTGCATGGCATGGACTCGCCGAGTCTGAAGAACAGACTCGACGAGTCGCTTGAAGATTGTCTTTGAGACCATCCTGTGTGTAGTCCGGACCGAGTTGTTGGCGACTCAGTGAGTCACAGAGAGTTGGAAAGGTTTTAACAGGTGGACCGAGTCAGGTTGGGACTCTCCGAGTTGACCTTCGACTCAGCGAGTTGAGTCGCGGTGGCCCTGTGATTCAGGCCCAGGGGGAACTCGTCGAGTCGGGGGAGTACTCGACGAGTCAAAAGGGAATAACCCTGATAGTTGATTAAAATGCGTAGACTCGCCGAGTCACTAGTGTGCACTCGCCGAGTCCGGTCCAAATTGATTAAAGACGATTGACCAAGTCAACCTGTGTTGACTTGATAAGGATGGCCCACCTTTGTGGTACAAGTAATAATTATAGATTTATAATATCATAGGAGGATTGCAGCTCGAGGGTTCGAGCCCGAGTGATTTCAGGATTCACGATTAGCGACTTAGCGAGGCATTCGAGGTGAGTCTTCTCACTATACTGTACCCGGAAGGGTTTTGACTGTGTGACCGGAAGGTCGAATATGATATGAAATATATGCCTTATGTGTGTTAAGTTATTTGTTATATGTTTCATGTATGATATGTTTGATCCGGGCCGGAAGGCAATATGATATGGGCCGGAAGGCGTGGTCATATGGACTGTAAGGGTTGACGTGGGTAGGACCGGAAGGTTTACCCAGTCGGGACGGAAGTCCCCTGAGACACATGGACCGGAAGGTCAAGGCCTAGAAAGGCGTATGTGCGTATGTTGTATTTTGGGAACTCACTAAGCTTTATGCTTACAGTTGTTGTATTATGTGTTTCATGTACTAGTGAGGACCGTGGGAAGGCGCCAGTGTGACCGTACACACACTCGGGGAAACTATCTCGTTATCTTTTGTTATGTAATCGGTTGTGACTACCTTGTTACTTTGGAATCTAAACTTATTACTCATGTTTTGATGGTTGTAAAAATGAAAATTTTTGGTTGAAAATTTTATGACGTTACAACTTTCTATTTATTCATGTTTAATAAAAACATATTAATTATGTGAAAATACAATCTTTTAACCAAACGTTATAAATTTATTTTATATATGGTCTATTTTTTTAGTTTTATACTTTTTTGTTCAGATTGAGTATTTGATATTAGGTGTGTCTTGTACATTCCTATTATGTCAAGATCCATAACTAGAAATATTAAATTAAAAAAAGATGTTATTAAGGGTAAATTACATTAATGGTTCCTATAGTTTGGATTTATTTGCATGTTTGCTCCATAACAATTTTTTTTAACTTTGACCGTCCCTAATGTATGTTTTTGTTGTGCGTTTGGTCCCCGCAGTTTTTAAAAAATTGTATTTCCCTTTTATATATATATTTTAATTAATTTAATGCTTTTTAATTATTTATATATATTAAACAGGTGAGTCCACCCACACCCTTTATCACTTTCTCCCTAATGTCCATTTATTCTCTCTCCCTCTCCACATTCTGAAAGGAATAGTTTCCTTTTCCTTTCTCTTTCTCCTTCCCCGGTGACCCTCTTCCACCCATAACCCGCAGCTCGCCGCCACCCAGAGAATCCTTATCACTTTTTTAATGTTTCCCTCTCCCAGATAGTGCTCACGCTTCAACTTCTTCACCTATAATTTCCATCATCACCTCCTACTTGTTCCTTTTATCATTCCAGATTTCGGTAACCATAATATTTCACTTCTAGTAACCACTTATGTGCTTCCTCCTCTTGTTAACTACATCTATCAGGGTCAAGGTATATGTTGACCATAATATTTCACAAGCCCTAAAGCCACCACAATTGTTGGATTGGATCACATAGGTGAGGATCTCATGATGTTGTATCAATGGTCCCATTTTAGGAGTTATGACCTGTGATTTCCAATGGGTGTGACGAGAAAGCAGGTGACCTACAGATATGCACCTCATATGAGGAACCTACAACAACCTCTTTTAACCTCCATTTTTTCCAAGATGGTTATACTTGAATCCATTTGCTTGTTAAAGGTCAAATTTGTAAGGATGTGAAGGTCGATCATGTGTTTTTAGGTTAGCATGTACTGACGGAGTTTGGAATAGAGGATGAAGAGTAATGATGTCAGACATATGATGGGATGGTGGATGCTGATGGCCACAGAGGTGGACTTTTAAGGAAGAAAGATTATATATCGATGGTCCCATTAATATTGAGTTTGATATGTGTAAGAGGAAAATGGGAAAAGGTAATAAGAATGTGGGACCTGCATATTTTATTATCAAATTTTCTAATAATAATAACATTAATAAAAAAAAATGATATATAAAAATAGAAAGTGCAATACAATCTTTTTAAAATTGGCAGGGACCAAACGCGCAACAAAATCATAGTAGAAGTTAAAAAATGGTATGGACCGAATCGACAAATTAACCCAAACTATAAGGACCATTTGTGTAATTTTCTATTTTATTAATTTTTATTCGAAATAAATAAATAAATAAATAAATAAATAAAAACTTTCGCTTAACGCCACGGCAGCACTTGTCACGTTACCTCTCCACCTTACATTCTCTCTCCCCTCCGTTTTAAACACAATAAACCCCTCCACCACTTCACTCGTATTCTCTCCCCTCCTCGTCGTCGGTGGTATTTCCACATGGATTCCCATCTCACCACCACCACCTCCGTCTCCCCCGCCGTCGTCACCGCAGATCATACACCGACAACCGCTTCCATCACTCACACCCTCACTCTCATCCACGACAACAACCATGATCCTTTTACCAAAATCCAAGCCGCTAAAGAGATCCGTCGCCTCACCAAAACCTCCCAGAGCTGCCGTCGTCAGTTTTCCGACGCCATCGTTCCCCTCGTCTCCATGCTCCGGTCTCCTTCCCTTGAAGCCAAGGCCGCCGCCCTCCTCGCTCTCCTTAATCTCGCCGTACAGGACGAAACGTAAGTATTTTTTTAACTCAGATTTTGTTGATCAAGTTTTGGAATTCAGATTGTGGTTTGTGTAACTGTGTCACTTTCTATGCCTTCTCTTTTTTCCTCGGATTCATCAATTTAGCAAAAAGGGGAAGACAATAATATTAAAGTATGTGTTTATGTATCTGCTTTTTGATCACAATCAATCTTCCGATTGGTTACATGTAAAAAGGCAATTAGATCCAATCGAAGCCTAATCTGGAGAATGATAAGGTTAACTTTTTTTTTTTCTGCAAATCATGACTTATTGACGTAATCTATCAACGATTTACAAAGCAATTTTGTTTGATTGATCTTCAAAGTAATCTATTTGTTTGATTGATTCAGTTTGAAGTTAACTGTGGTGGTTGAAATTCGTGCCCTACTTTTGTTCCTAGGATTCATTAATGGCACTGATGAAAACACAATTCAATCTATTTTCTGAACTTAGATCCTAAAATGATACAATCTGTTGACTAAACAAAGATATCGAAGAATTTTTTTTCTGTATTTTCTGCCAAAAATAGCTAACAAACAAGAAATTTGGGAAACTATATTACTTATTCATATGTTTCAAGAAGTGGGAAGAATTTAAATTGAAACTTCTTGTTCTTGACCTTTTTCATGGTGTTTGATGATTCTTGTGTTAAAGAGACCAAAAAAGATTCGAAAGTGAGTACACTAAACTACCAAATTTGTACACATAAAAAATCTTTGAAAATACTATGCGTTTTCTTGATATTTGCTTAAATGGAATTGTCTTTTCAATTTAACCCCATGTGCATATCTGTTTTACTGTGGATAATGTTATAGAATCTGATTCTTTTATATGATTTATCGATATAACGTTTTATGCTTTTACCCATTTCTTACTCTTTCTTTTATTTCCTTTTTACCTTTTACTTCCATCTTCTACATGAAGCTAAAAATAAAAATAAACATTATATCTTTTTGTTCTAGGAACAAGATTAGTATCGTGGACGCCGGCGCATTAGAACAAATTGTGAGTTTGTTTGAATTAAAGAACACAAACATGCAAGAACACGCCACAGCATTATTAGCGACACTTTCAGCATCCGTCGCAAAAAGATCGACAATCGGAAAATCAGGGGCGATTCCATTTCTTGTAAAGATCATTGACAAAGGAACCCCACAAGCTAAATTCGACGCCGTTTTAGCACTTTCAAATCTCTCATCCGAATCCGACAATCTCAAAATCATCCTCGAATCGAATCCTATACCTAACCTAGTACAAATCCTTAAAACCTCAAAAAAATCCTCGAAAATCTCGGAAAAATGCACCGCTCTTCTAGAAGCTTTAGTCGGTTTCGAAGACGGAAGAGTTGCGCTAACTTCGGAAGACGGCGGAGTGTTAGCAGTCGTCGAGGTTCTCGAACGTGGGTCCCCACAAAACCGGGAACACGCAGTGGGGACACTTTTAACTATGTGTGAAACCGACAGGTGTAGATATCGTGAGCCGATTCTGAAAGAAGGTGTCATTCCGGGGCTCTTGGAGCTTACTGTTCAGGGAACCTTAAACTCCCAGAAGAAAGCGCACACACTCCTTCGATTACTCCGAGAATCGCCGTACCCTAGATCGGAAATGGAACCTGACACGTTGGAAAACATCGTGTGCGACATTATTTCGCAGATCGAAGGAGAAGAGCAATCGGGAAATGCGAAACAAATGCTGGCGGATATGGTGCAAGTTAGCATGGAGCAGAGTTTGAGACATTTACAGCAACGGGCTTTGGTTTGTACGCCTTCGGATTTACCGATTGCTAGTAATTGTGGCTCCAAAGTTTCTTTAAAATACAACTGATTTTTATTTATATATATATTTTTTGGGTTTTTTTTTTTGTTTTTGTTTTTATTTTTATTTTCCATGAATATATCATGGAAATTGTGAGATTGGGGTGTCGATGATAGGGATGATTAAGAAGAAGCCAGTCCAGGCCTTTTGGGTTTGATGGGTATCATGTGACTGGTAATTGTTGATAAAGAAAAATGTAAAAAAAAAAAAAAAAAAAATGTTTATTATTATTATTATTATTAATATAAAAAAGTGAATTTGTGCATTGAGATTTTTTTTGGAATTATCTAAGTTTTTTATGGTAGTTTTATGTTTTATGATATTTTATAATTCTTAAATTTGGACCGGTGTCGGCAATTAGATAGAACCGGTATGGTCGACACAACTAGACTAGGTAAGGCTGACCAAAGTCAACACCATGTAGTTATGGTGTGATATGGGTTAATATTTAACGAGTGTTTATAATTTAGTTTGTGACGTTTTTTGTTTTTTACCTGATTGAGATATATTTGATGTGGAGAATGTCATAGCGAATGATCCATGACATTATCTTCCAGATGTTTCTTTTTCGATCAACATGAGAAAAAGACTTTATATTAACACGTCTTTAATGTTTTATCTGTTTAAAAGAAATTTGATGTGGAAGTATGTGGCTTAATTACCAAGATTGGTGGATTATCATGACACGTTTGTATATTTATGTCTTATTCTACATAAAAAGATATCGAACAAGTGATCTCGCTTAAGAAAAAATTGTTGTGTCTAAGTCCAACCACGTAGTAAAAAATCAATAATTCTTTTCGGAAACGATTAGACATTAATAGTATTTATCTGACTCAAATCTTACTTGGATTGATCGTATTACAACATTCTGTTAAAGTTATTGAATTTAAAGGAAATTTGGTGAACTAGATGCAATTGTTAATGTGATAGATTTAATTATGTAAAAATTATATAATATTAATGATACTTTTGTTTGGTCTAGTTTCAATCTATTGTATTTGGCCTTCACTCGATGGTGGGCTCACAACACTTGTTTGGTTGATTGGTACGTTTTTAGAGGCATCCCTTCGTATTGTTTTTAGAGGCATCCCTACTCCTTCCTAATGTTTTTGGTAATATTGTATTGTTTTAACATTAAACTAATTTTTTTTGTTCAAGAAATAATAACGTACAACTTATAATAAGAATTATAATATAATAAATATGTTTGAAAATTCATTAAAAGACCATACCTGATCCCCCATCCCCACAAGTTGCACTGAGGGGATAATATCGGGTGTCGAATTTAATTCCTCATATTTGACTTTGACTTTGTTTTATTCATTCAATGGTTTATGCAAAGGTAGGCGCCCTAACACATCTAACAGTTTGTTGTAATGGAGTTGCCAAAAATAGAAAGTTATTTGTTAAGTAGTTTTATGATTTAAAAGAATAGGTTTAAATATTATAAAAATGATATCTATATAGTTATTAGAAAATAAATAAGTTTGACCTAACTGATACATCGTTTTTTTAAAGTAAGCTAGACATGTATTCATTATTTTCGTGGTAGGCTTGTAGCATACTCATATGTTGTTTGGTTACATTCGACAATTTTGTGGTCTTGTTCATTGTTCAATGAAGAGTTTAGGCAAAACGAATATTGGGTGGGATATATACCTCTTAAAAGCGACAAAAGTAGTAAATATAGTGTAAATTAGCGTTATGCAATGTAAATAATTATAATATGGTTATGAAATATTGAAATATGTGTGTAAATATAACTCTATTTTTTAAGCTATGATTAACACTAAAAATATTTTACGTATATTTTTAGGGCGGTAAATGAACCGAACGAACACGAACGGGGCTTGTTTATATTTGTTCATTTAAGTTAGCCGAACAAATGAACGAACACAAACGGATAAACGAACGGAATTTCTTGTTCATGTTCGTTCGTTTAACAAATTGCATTGTTCATGTTTGTTCGTTCATGTTCGTGATCATGCTAAATGAATATAAACAAATGAACATGAATGAAAAAAGATAAACAAACATAATTCAAACATATATGAACATAAATGAACATATATATATAATATAATGTAATCAAATACAATTAAGTATATATGAACATTAAAAGAACTTATATGAATGAATATAAACAAATGTAGACGAACAACATAAACGAACGTTCACGGATATAATTGAACGAACAAGATCATTATTCATGTTCATTTGTTTAATTAAACGAACGAGAATTTATGTTCATGTTCGTTCATTTATTAAATAAACAAAAATAAGCGAACTTCCCGCCGAACGGTTCACGAACAGTTCATTGATCGTTCGGTTCATTTACAGCCCTATATATTCTTATCTATCAAGTTTTTATAATTTTACAAAACAACCTCTATATTTATTAAGATTTTACAAACTCAATATGTAGCTTTTATTAATATAAGTATATAAATTACATTATTAATGGTCGTGTGCAAACGTTGATCTCATTATAGAAGGTTGAAATTTCTTGTTGAACGTTGAGATCGTGTTGCGGATAATTTCGTAGCATCTCCTTGTATCTTTCACATGTTGATTCCCCGTCGAGTTGTTGAAGGTTTTGGATGTTCTTCTTCAATTTAGCGACCTTTGATGGAGGGATAAATTGTTGTATGAACTGCTCTTTTAAAGTGTCTCATGTCGTGATTGTTCCTCGTGGTAATGATTTTAACCATCGTCCGGCTGCATCCTTGAACGTGATTGGTAATATCCTTAGCATTACTGCATCCTCGAGAACTTCATTGATATGTTGCTAGGCATCCATGTTTTCTTTTCTGTAAAACAGTGTATCTTTAAGCATGTTTAGGAATTGCCCTTTTTGCTCGATATTTGTTGCTTTTGGGTTGTCGGTCGCACAAGGTCTAGTCCGGTGTCATCCCTAGTAAGTAAGTTGAGTGTATTATTCCATCGTCATCTCTGCTATATCTGCCATGCTTTCTTCTTGGTCACTTCGTCTTCGATCTTTATTTTTGGTTCGGTCTTTTTTGATCCGTAGCTTTCCTCTTTCTTTTCTTTTCTTTGTTTGTGAAATTCTGATTCACATGTGATTGATAACCCGCATGCACAAGAATTTACCACACTGTAAACTATTTTACCGAGTAGGATACTATAAATGGTTTTCTAAAATGTTTTCACTTGTTCATAACTCTTACTTATACTGTTTTATCAAAGTTCATTTTAAACTAGTTTATCAAAGGTTTCCAAAGAATTTTCTAAAGGTTTTCAAACTTATTTTACCAAAGAATACCAAGTTGTGACTTTCTCAAGTATAAAGGTTTTTCCAAGGTTCTCATCAAAGTTGTCTTCCATCTCATATACTCTTGCTTGTTAGAAGTCACTGCTTTGCTTTCACTTAGTTTAAACTCCTACTTGATAACGTTTCCACTTGTGATACACTTATATTTGGTAACGCTTATACTTCACGATTCGATTATCCCACACTGTTTGTTTACACTTTACGATTTGGTTATTTCCACACTATTCGTTCACACTTTATGATTCAGTTGTTCCACACTATTCGTTCACACTTTATGATTCAGTTGTTCCACACTATTCGTTCACACCTTATGATTCAGTTGTTCCATACTATTCTTTCACACTTTATGATTCGGTTATTCCACACTGTACGTTTACACACCATGACTCAGTTATACATCACGATGTGTTTCCACTTGTTACACACTCAGTCGTAGTTAGATGTATGTCTGTACTTGTATAGGTGCATATAAATAATGATTGAAGGACTTAGGAAGGCTTGTCCGCCCTATTTCCTTTTCTTCGTTGAGATGTGGTCTGGTGGAATCTGATGGTCGTCCGAAGGTCGTTTGATTCATTAGTTGTATGTTATGTATGCGAGCATAGACATATAGGTTTACTCTAGTCAGTCCAGTTATGAGTCTCTACCCCTAATTCAGCGCTTACATATGAAACCCACTACCCACTATTTAGGATGCATCTTCGGGACACGACCTTCTCCGTCGTCTAGTTGGTAACCAGAGTATCCTGTAGAGAGAGCGAACATTGTGTGTATAGATCTATACAGGATTGACACCCCCGCACCCTGACTGCTAGCTACAGTCCACGACCCACCAAGCCAAGGGGTGAAAAATGTCATATTTTATAGACGCTTGTAGGGCGTCAGGTACTCTAGTGTCGGTTAGTATGGTTACGAGTATCCTAGGTTGCCTTATAATTCATGGCCTTAAGGTAACGGTATTATACCAGCAATTTACACTGTATGCTGGGAACCCATTTTCAGAGTTACACTGTTTCTAGACCTTGCTAGTTGTATCTTTCATTTTGATAATGTCAGCGGTCTGATTTCTCTGTTTTAGACTTTACTAGTTGTACCTTTCATTTGGTACCGTCTGGGGTCTGTATCTCCTTTTGTTAGACTGAGCCAGACATGTCGTTCGTTCGATACTCTCCTGGAGTCTATGATTCCCCTTGCCTTAGTCAGCAGTCCTCACTGCTGAGGCATGTGTTATTTCCCTGATTTCTCTTGCTTTCTTTAATAATCAAATCCTGTATTTTGATAATGATAGCGATTAAGGGAAAACTACTTTTTACCACTTAACTCCTTCCAGTCTTGGTAGAAGACTGCTTTTATTAAAGAAAATATAGGATTTTCTGGAAAGGACACTAATGTAAAGGATACTCTAAAACTACCACTTTTATTAAAGTTATTTGAATAAAATGACACTAAATACTTATGAACTCACCAGCATTTGTAAAAATGTTGATACTCGCTTTTTAAATGACTTGTATTCTCAGGTCAGCATTAGACAGGTACATTCCCGGAGCTGTTGATGAAGATAGCTTAGTGCTAAGCTGCACTTATATAACTACTTGTATTACTTTGGTGTATTGTAATGTAAATCATGTAAAACTATTACTATTAATGCAATGGTTGTTGTACTTTGATTACTATAATGCATTTGTTGTGATACTTGACATGACGTCATCCACCCCAGAACGTTTCCGCCGTTCCGGTTTTGGGGCGTGACACATACGAATTATAGTTATGGGCTTAAATGCCTAATCCAACAGTCTCACACTTGGATAAGTCTAATAAATATT